ATCAAACTTTATGATTTTGTAAAATTGGCAGTATTTTTCTAAATATTCCAGTAAAAGTGTCTATGCCGGCGCGAAGCGCCGGCTCGAGCGAGAAAGTCCAGTGCGGTCCCCGCACCAATCTGCTAAGCGGATGGGGGGGCGAAGCCCCCCAAATGCCGGCGCGTAGCGCCGGTACGCGGCGCGAAGCGCCGCGCATAAATTGGCCGGAGGCCAATTTTTTTTTTTAGATTTTTATATGTCTATTCTGAAAATTATCTCTTGTTTTTCCTGACAAAATTAATTTTTCCTGAAGAAATCTGGATATGTTTTGGAAAATCGGTAGATAATAGAGGAAAATCAAGATCGTTTTCAGATTCTGCAGTCATAATTACGTGAGAAAACATGCATGACAAACCTATCAATTTTACACAGTGTTTCTGAGAGCAAAGTTTTCCGGTGAAATGACTGCACCTGCCTTTATACCACCTTTGTATAGTAGATAAAATACAAAGAAGAAGAAGCCAGTCTTGTACTGGTCTACTGGTACGCATCAGAGCTCAGAATTTTTCACTTCAAGTAATTGAAATTTTTTTCCTTGTTTTCCCTGCATAATAGTGTGGACCCAGCACTATTTCAGGGTGTCTAGCATCAAGATTTGAGGAAAAATCGGTCGTAAAATCAGGATTTGAAAAAAGTCAGCTGTCCGATCTGATTTTTTTTCATACTTTTGCATACTTACGCTTATGCAGAAATTTTTCTCAGCAAAAAATCAAGATTTGGACAAATTATGAAATCAGGATTTAGCAGTCAAAAATTAGGATTTCACAAAATGAAAAAAAAAACTAGACACCCTGTATTTTACCACCTTGTTAAATATACCTGAAGATAACAAAGGCTTATGAAAGCACCATCAATAATGTTTTTTCTTCAATTTTACAGATATATTCTTGTGATGGATTACCTCAAAAAAGTTGTGAAACATGTCTTATGCACCTGAAATCATTCAAGCAGTTTTTAGACGCCTGCATTCAAGCAAACGAGAAACTCAGAAACCTCAGCTTTCTGCTGTCTGATGAAGGCTGTAATTCTGATGAGGTGAGCACTGAGCACCCACCAATCCTATTTAATTGCATTCAATGATATTTTCTTATTTTCTTTATATATATCGTGTCAAGTTCCAAGAAAAGAGGTTGTCCCGTTTTCCAGGTTTGCAGTCCAAGGTTTGCAGTTGTTTACTTTCCATTTGCAAGTGACTGTCATAAAGTTGTCTAATAGCCTTCGAGGATTAACTGTGGGCAATGTCATCGCTGTGCGTAAAAATGGAAATTGGCCTACTGTGGAAGACAATTGAAAGTAAACAACTGCCAACTTATCAGGCAGGAATTCCAGGGTTGCCAGTCAGAGAATTTTAAATATTTAGGGAAAACTTAGAACTGTTCTGGCAAATGACAAAAGTGTTGGGGTAAAATCACTAAGTCGCCTTAATACATTCTAGGAAGGGGTTTGACGTTTCGAACAATAAAGTTTGCCTACAAACTATGTTAAATTATGTCTTTTTAACCATCTGGCATATCTTCAATTGCCAGGGAATTTTACTAATGTATGTCAGGGATATGTCAGGGAATCTCATTTTCTAAATTCTGTGGCAATTCAGTAGTTCTAGAAAAATTACTATTTTGCACACTTTAACCATTCAAAAATTGTCCAAAAGCTAGGCTCACTAACTGCTCCGCACTATCAATCCTTTGAAGATAAAGCAATGTTTTTTTCTTTTTCTGGAAATGTATTACTCTCCATTGCATCAGAAGTGAATTCTGGACCGAAATGAACAATGCAATTGCTTTTGTGTTGCATCTAAGTAATAATTGAAATATCTGATTTTATCTGAGAAAGAAATTATGATTTTGTCAATCAGTCAAGTTGTATATGTGGCCATCTGTGAGAAGGAGGCAAAGTGCATTCTACATTTTTGGCAACTGGGTCAAAAATTTTGTTTTTAGTTTCCGATGGAATGGTTTTTCCCAAGTTGCAAGCAATTTATTTTTTTTTTTTTTTTTATGGAAGGAGGGTGGAAAGCGCATTTTTGGCCCTAAAAGTTTGAGCCCAAGAATGACTGTCTCAATTGTTAGTTTTAAATGGTTCTTATCCTCAAACTGTGTTTTTTAAACTGCTCAAAAGCTAAAATCATACTTGCCAAATAATTGTACGCACCTTCAGAGATGGACAGAGGATTAGCATTCCTCAGTTTAGCATTGGAAGTAGGTGCATGAATCAAGAGGGTGGAATTTCAGTTGCACTCTATGAGTGGGTAAATTTAGTTGGTGTAGACTCTTTGAGGTCTTGTACAACTTTGAAGTGGAGTACAATTTTTGGAATTTTGGGCATTTTTCTGTCCAAAATAATGGCAAAATACTCGTATATGCTCTAGTACTATTATCTTTAATTTTACAATGATTTTTCTGGTTTATGGCCCTTTTTCCTATAGATGGTCGTTCATACATCAAGAAAAAAATCTGGGAACTTAAAAACATGAGTAGCGATCTGTCTGCTCTGTAAGCTTTTTTAGAAGTATTTATGCGTCAAGTATTTTGCTCATTGAAAGTAGTTTCCTCAAAATTTTTTCTCTCTACTTGGCAAGAAAAGCTTATCAGAAATCTCTCAAAAACAATTTAAAAACGATTTTTTAATTATTTCTTAAAATTTTTTAGCCATCTCTCTCTGATAGTTTTGGCCTTGGAGCAGCTGGAGAATCCCCAAAATCTGTAGCTATTCCAGCAGAAGAAGCACACTTTAAAAATGAAGCAAGATCAGAAGAGTCGATCAAAGTACATCAAAATTGTCGAGATGAAACAGTCCATCATGATTCTGACTCGCAACTTCATTCGGTCCTAGAAGCTCAACCCTCAGCTGCATTTCTTCTGTGTGACATTTGTGGCAAAGTTTTTGAGCGGGCCAACAATCTAAGGGTACACAAAGCAACACATCTTGAAGATGCCTTGAAGAAAAAGCATGTTTGTTCTACATGCGGAAAACGTTTTTTCTCTAGGTATGTGTCTAACAGAGTATTTGCACCTAAGTCTTGCAGTCAAAACATGTTTTTGATAAATAAATAAATAAAAAAAAATTAAAAAAAAAAAATGGATTCCTTCAAGAATAATATTGTAGCTTGTATAATATTTAAGGGGGGAAAAAATTTCATTGCTGTCAGTTGAAATGCACCAAAGTCATGCAATTTTTAAGGCTTTCATTGTAAAAGAGGCATTTCCTTTGTCAAACTTCTGCTGGAATTCACCAAGCAAGTTGAAAGTGAAAAGTCCGAAGTTTAAAGCCACCTCATTTTTGGGAACTCTCAAATTCCCTCATCTTTTTTTGTTACATGTCATTGTAAATAAATAATTGTATAAAGCAATTCAGACTTCAGAGTAGGTGTTTGTACCTTGTGACTTTGAAGGAACATCACAGAATTTCACAGATCCGAAGTTATTGAGGCTTATTATTAACAACTTCCGCGCATGGCCCCAAAAATCGCTTTCTCTCCGTGAGGTGAAAATTGAGGTGTTCCTTTTGAGGTGAAAATTGTAACTTTTTCTGATCTGAATTTTCCTCTTGAAAATTCAAGGTTGCAGTGCAGTATTGAAGTAGTGTGCAGTCCTGTCAGTGATGGGTTTTTTTCCAGTCGCGAGAAGGCAACTATGACCAGCACTGAGATCATATCTGCGACGTTTCTATTTTATGCCCATCTCTGAGCTCTATATCTTGCTGATCGCTTCCAACTGTTAATTTATCAGTTTACAACTGCTCAACTCCAAGCCTTGATACCTACAGTATGTTTAGCTCAGGAGGCTGGAGACGAATCACAAACAGTGTAACATCAAGAAAAGGAGTATGATGTTGGCCAGGGCAATTAACTTGCTTAATTATGCATCTTTGTCACTACCTGGTATCAAACTGTCTCATTTTTCTTCTAGATTTCAGCTGACAGAACACCAAAACGTTCATCTGGGTCTGAAACCTCACCAATGTGATCTGTGCGACAAAAAGTTTCATAAAAGAATTTTGTTACGTCAGCACAAACTAATACACCTCCCAGAGTCAGATCTTTTTGAGTGCTGTAAGTATTTTTCTATTTCAACTTGGCCTTTTGAAAATGGATAAAAACCCTTAAGTAATCAATCTCAATTCATTCCATCTGTGAAATTTACATTTCGTTGATTAAGCTGACATAGTGACATGAGTTCAAACAATTGTATTCCTTGTCTTATTCTTGAGACCTGATGAAACATGTCCATGCTTGTCCTACTTTCTGATTGAAAGTAACCTTAAGATGTTAGAAGCACCTTTCTAATTTCGACCTGGTGTGGAAGAACAAGAACAGGAATTCGAAATAATAAAAAAACATGCCCAATATTCAGAAAACTAAATTGTAGCCATGCAGTTCCCTGTCCTTCAAACAATTCTCACTTCAAATAACTAAGTCCTAGCTGCAAGAGCATAGCTCCATTGAAAATCGCAAAATTAACTCAAAACAATTTTATTTTTATGAGGGTATGAGTAAGTATGTGATTTCTCCCTAAAATTGTGCCGATCTTCTTGTACATTTGGACAGAAAATCAGTGACATTTTTTATTAAAAATGCTCAACAGATTTTCAGCAAAAGTACATATCGCCTATTGAAAAATTAAACGGCTGATTATCCCTCCAATACTTATTTTTCAGGTAAATGTGGTTTGAAGTTCAACCGTAAAAGTAATCTCAAAGCCCATGAGCGGACCCATAGCAGCACCCGCAGTTTTGCGTGCCGTGTTTGCTCCCTAACCTTTGGAGAGATGCGATCGTTATTATCACACAGGAGACTAGAACATATAAAAAAGACCGAAGAATCTGTCGTTGTCAGTATGGTATGTACCACTGGTTATCCTTGGTTTTTCATTCTACTGTCATGTTGAAGTATCAGTCATCAGGGATATCGATGGCAAAAATGCGAAACCATGTATCTCTGCTTGCAACGGTGCAGACTATCTGTCATACTTGATTTTGCTCCGGAAAATTAGTCAACGTGTTATCCTGAAAATTTTTTTGATTTTTCTTCTTGGTTAAGAGAATATTCTTCAAAGATTTCAAGCTATTTGGTTGTCCTATTTCTCGTAGAAAAACTAAAAAAAACCATAACAAGACAGACATTTTGAAAAACTCCGCAATGAAGCTTGGTGGTTTGACACTTGGGCCATCGACATTTTTAATCATGAATGAAAATAAATTGAGCCATCAAGAATGAGCAGAACAATTGGAACGGGTAATCAAGCTTGCTAGTCACCCCTAAAATTGCTATCAGCATTCATGATGGAGCTATCCGATCAGATATGGCAGTAATGTAAGAGACAGAGTGAAAAGTCAGTGAAAACCTGGAGAAGTTAGGAAATTTTGCCTGACCCTGAAGAAAAGTCTGGAAATATTGCTGCAGAGCCTTGATATCTTTTTTCCGGACAAAAAATTTCAATATTCTCTACCCCCACACAATCTATTGACAAAACTAAAAACTTTTGCCTTCTAGTTCTCAAGTTTAAAATTCAATCAATTCCAAGAGCCTTGGTACTGTTTTTTTGAAAATGATGTTCATGAGATATTATATCCAAAAAAAGAAGAAAAAGAAACGAAAAAACAACCACACGAATAATATTGAAAAGTTTTGAGTATTTCATGTTTCAAAACCCTAAAAAATAATGAAAAAATCAGATGAATTTGAAACTTAAGAAAACCTGTCACTCTTGAGAATTATTATTAAGAAAATCAGCATTGCTTTGTGAACAGACCAATCATATCCAATCCTTTATTTTAGGGGATACTTCAGTAGTAAAAGTAATACTTCCTTTGTGAATAGCAACAAGATAAATATATTTTTAGGTCTTGACAGTATTAATTTTATTTTATCTTATTTTATTTATTTATTATTATTTTTTTACTGACATGATTACAAAATTGTTAAAAATAGTGAATCGAGAGTTTTCACCAAATCTTTTAATTTTTCCAGGAGCATCGTTGTATGACTTGTGACACATACTTTGAAAATGCTGACTCACTAAGTCAACACATGAAAACTCACAAGCAGAAAGAAAACAAGCAGGCCCAGTGCAAAATATGCAGACAAGTGGTTAACACAAAAGCCCTGAAATACCATGAAATGTCAAAACACTCAAATAAAAGGCCTTTTCAATGTTCATATTGCTCAGAAGAATCCAAAGAAGTCGGATTCATGTCATTTGGTCTGCTTAAAAACCACGAGAGACTTCACACAGGACAGCGACCTTTTAAGTAAGTAAACTAAAACTCGTTGATCTTATATTTGCCACCAGTAGCATTCAATTTGTTAGGTAACAAGCATGGACGATTCTCATCTCAGACCTACTCTGCCGCGCTAAGGAAGAATGCCGTATGAACATTCGAGAGTTGCCAAATTTCCTTTGATAAAATGTTAATTCATGAGGAAAATTAAGAATATTTTTCCTCGAAATTTTCAGGAACTTTAGGTGAAATTGCGAACAAAATTATCTAAAAAATTAGAAGGATAATATTCATAAGTTTACCAGTAAATTCGTGTTTTATCCAAGGTAATTTGGCAACGCCTGAAGGTTTATACGGCGTTCTTCCTTATCACGGCAGTACTGAGAACATCCAGACTGTTTCCAGAGGTTTTGCTTGTTGGATGGTGTGCTCAGCACTCTAGGAAGGTTCAGGTATGTAGAAAGGTCCTAGCCTTTGTGTCCTCTATCAGCATTTCATTTTGCAATTCGGAACTGCAATCTCTGGTTCATGTTTAAAACAACTTCTATGCAAAGAAAAACTGATGGTACTTATGTTGTTTCTATACTGAGCCGGAATTTGTAGTTCTGAATTGCATGATGTAGTCCACTTCGTTTATCTCTCTTATTTTTGTTTTTTCTCATTCTGAGGGAAAAATTTGCCTTAAGTGCCACCCAACAGGAGGAGTGCTGAAGCACCACCCCATGAAGAGTGTCCCATCAAGTATCGGTATGGCAGTCATAGTTGGTAAAAAGAATAGTGGGAAAAATACACTTAAAAATTCCTCTGCATATTTAATTATAGGACCTATGAAAACTGTAGGACCTGTTGTGTCTTGTCTAATAGGTAGTGAAAGAAGTAACAATAAATTCTCATTTTCAGGTGCGACTCTTGTGAAAAATCATTTCGTAGTCGGAAAAGTCTTCGTCAGCACAAGTTGAAACACTCAAACCTTCGAAATTACGAATGCAACTTTTGTACCAAACGGTTCAAAACCAAGGGTACCCTTAAAGTTCACTTGAAAATTCACACAGGAGAGAAACCCTATGTATGTGACCAGTGCGGTCACTCATTTATCCAAAAAAGTGATATGATGAAGCATCAAAGGAGGCATTCAAACCATAACTTAGATGGCAAGGTAGAACTCGAACCTACCACTTCCTATCTACTCTCCAAAGAACACAATCCTGCAGTCAAAACAGTCGATGTTGCTGCTGTGGTATTGCCAGAGCATGTTCAAAAGATGCTGAATTTGACTAACACTTCAATATTTCCGGGTAACTTCATTTTAGCAGACCAGCATTTTACAGGTCATTTTTCGGCTGAGTCCAACGTCATCGATTCTCAACGGAATGAAATCAAGATGAACAACAGTAGTGAAGGTAGGCTCGTGACCAGTGCAGATGGTCAAGATGGCCCTTGCATCAGAGAAAATTTCAACGGTAATGCATTGAGTTCTCTCACTGCACCGTCGCTAATGACAGATGATAGTGATATTGTAATTACGAACTTATCCCTCAGTCTTTCGGGATCTTTAAATTCTAGCAGTGAAGCACCAAGCTGATCGGTGTGTGGCTTGAAACAATCTGCTTTGAGACAAGGACACGGAAAATTTCCAGGAATGATAGATTGCACCTGAGAATCCCGTATGCGTGGATGGTGCAAATCAGAGGATGCACGTTTTTGTAAGTTATTTTTTGCAGACAGTAATTGTGTTTCAAAGTTTCATGAATTATTCATGAAATTAAAGTTTCGACATTTTTGCTGTTGTGGCCCCTGTCAACCAAAGCATCAATCCCGGTTGCTATGGTGCTATCAATTATGTTCCTCTTAATCTGCTCTTCATCACTCTTGGGTGTGATATTGTGTCAGGGAACTTCCGATGTTGCGGGGTATCGCGTGGCAGGGGTGGAGGAGGCTTTACAAAGAATTTTGTCATTACATTACACCCAAGTAGTGGCTGTGAAATCCCAGGGTGTATGAGGCTTCCTGTGGGTGGGGGGTGCCTCTTTTATTACTGAAAATGACAAACATGTGATACTTTGAGGCTGGCGCAGTTCTTTTATTAGAGCAATCAGTTCTAAAATTCTAAGTATAGTTTAAGTGAAAATTCTCCGCTAAGATTACAGACTCTTTTTTCGCTGTCACATTCACTGAATCAACGATTTCGAGGATCTGACCGTGTCAACCACCCGATTCAAAATATCAGTATATATATATGCACCATCCATGTTGTTCATCCATTGTTCTGGATGGTGTGTTGGAATTGTGTTGTTCTTATATTGTTGATTGCGAAGATTGGTGGTCGAAAACAAAAGGTGTAGGTTCAGATCAAGCTTCAATGTTTTCTATATTATCAGGAATGTTCTACACTGAAGGAGGAGTAGAATCACCGATGTTATTAATTAAATTTGCGAGAGGAATTTTCATCATCTGAGTCCTCTTCACTAATGTCAGCTGTTCCATTTCGACATTTCCCTCATTGCTCTTAATTTGTGTCACTATTTCCGCGATTTGAGAGTCACTCAACACGTTCATCTTAGTAAAATCGATGAAGCAACACGGCACGAATTCACCGTAGAACTTTCAACGAGATTTTTTATGCACTAAGCACAATTGAACGCAAAATATCACGAGGTAAACATTGGCACATACGCGAAATGGCTGTCTGTTCTCACTAACCTCGAACCGGTATTCCCCATACTTTTCACATGTTATTTGTAAAGGCAGATTTTGGCGTACTCTATTGAAATTGGTCTCAATTTGTAGTTCATATCCTCCTGGATGGATATCACTCATCACAGATAACATGGAGCTCATTGTGGCACTAGAGCGTAAAAACTAAGTCACTATCCGAAAACGAGAATACTCGGGCGTGATATTGAAAGGGTTAACTCCTAAAGGAATTGTGTCGTATGAATTTGTCAGCCGGTGTCTCTTTGTGTAAATGACTTCGTGATTTTCTGTTCAGGTTAAGAAACTACATTCCAGCCGGGGTACGTACTATTTTGTCTGGAATATGACCAGCCAAGGGGTCGGCTGATTCTAGGACGGCTTTTTCAGGGAATCAAAGTTTACAGTTTTGCAAGCTCTATGGATTAGAGTGAACCCTCTTACTTCGCAAACTGTAGTAACATCATTTGGGTCACCACCGATGGCAACTTCATATGCATAACTTTTCGGGCCGCACCGACAAATTCCGTTGTGTATGACCCCTCTCCGTAACTTAAGCATTCGTCGGTTAACCCGCCGAGCCAATCATTCGTAGGTAAAGGCTTAATATTTGCAGGGCAGCGGTATATTATTGTGTCCGTAGCTACGTAATATGCCGTGGTCTGAACATCTATCAATTCATATAGTTTTATTCCAGCTTGAGCAGTCATAAGCGCTGCCAAGATTGCGTTGGTTATCATTTTTTTTTTTTAAATCTCTTGTAATTTTCCTCCAAAATTAGGCGATTTTATCCTCGGATCGGCGAAACACTCCGGCCCACTCTAAAGGCCCCTCCGGGGAAAAATTCATGTACTTCAGATTATAATTTCAATAAGGATTCCTTTTGGGAAAGATACACTGTAATCAGTGATACAACGAACCTACTTACTCACCTCCAAAATTGTGTTGAAATTGTAGGAAGTTTTAGCGGATCGTTTGACACATACGAAAAACCTCCCCTTCTGCCAGAAGATCGACCCCACTGGGACATTCCGTAATACCTTCCCGAATTCCTCCATTAGGGAGCAGGGCACTATTGCCGATATGTTATTGTTCAGGCTACTGACGCGGAGTGTTATAGAATTGAAGAAAATGAGATGATGAAAATTTTCTTCAATCGGAGCAAATAAGTAGTTTTTAGACACTCGAGTCACCATTATGTCTTTAAAAAATGGATTCCGCCTTGATGCTTCTCAAATTGGACGGCATCCAATCGCGTCATTATTCCCAAGAAATATTCGGCCTCCTCCTGCTGGTTCTCGACAACCGCCTTTGCAGCTCCCCTCGCGTTTTTTAATAGGAATAATGGCACCCTTAGCAGCCAATGGATTCATCAAAATAATATCATTTGAAAATACTTGAAAACTCTGCCCGTCAAGTGCAGGATTTGTCACTTCGATCTCTCACAATTCGTGACTCAACAAACCTATTGCGCTGCCCCAGCTTACCACGGAAAGCGTTCAGCAAAACTTTACTCACAGACCTACGTGAAGGATTAGAATTTATTTTACTCCAGTAAAGTTTTATATATTCTACCCCCTTGTAATCATCGAGGTAATTTTGTTATCAGTTTCAGTCTGGCACCAAGATGGCCATCCTGACTTCCTGTTCCATTTTTAAAAATTTGTTAGCATAGTCTACAAAAAGCTCTCGTGTTCCCACTCTATTGAGTTGTATCAAAATGCCAAATTTCATGGATTTTTATAATTTTATATCCTAGACTGACAACTTTCTGCAACTTTGAAGACACCCATGTGCCGGGAAACCGCGGGCGCAGGGTCTAACCTCCACCACCTCTTCGGGCTCTAGCTGAATGAGAGGGAAGCCNGGGGGGGGGGGGGGGGGGGGGCTGAAAGTTATCAGGGGTGGTGTAGGGTTCTGGAGTTTTTCACTCCAGAGATGGAGTAATGAACAAAAGTCAATGATTGGCGATGGAAAAGAAAATTTATAATATTGAAGAGTCCGAAAAAATTAACAACACAGTATCGACACGAGATATGAATCCAAGAAAAACCAGTTGTCGTGGTTCGGCGCGGTGCCGATGTTGAATACCCTTTCTATATTTTAGGACAGATGTTGGCTTTTTTTTTTTTTTTTTTTTTTTTTTTTTTTTATATATGTATATCTACTTTGTAAATTTTTGAGATTCTTTACTTGATTAAAATCAATTATTAATATGGAATCGAGCTTGAGCCCAGGGCGGAAACAAACTGGGTTGCCAGCGCATGTCCTCGGAACTGGTAAGGTATAAATAATTGGCGGGAAACACCGCACTAAATGAACGTGCCAAATCTTCATAGTTGAACGCAATGTCATGGAAAAAAACAAAAACTAAGCGCGCCAAATCCAGGGATATAATACATCGCAGGCCGAAAAATCCGCGGACACAGCCGCACGCACAAGACACCTCGCGAATTCCATCGTAAATATAGGATAACTTTGAGAGAGAAAGGATGTGAACCCAACGAGAGCACAGCAGGAACTAATGGTAACGCCAGAAGATGAGACCAACGAGAACGATAACTCGCGTCAGAAAAACTGGTTTTAAAAGGAAAATAAAGGGACAGAATTTTAAAAAAAAATAGGCCTACCTTACCAATTAAAAAAATGCAAATCAGGGCGAAAATTAATTACAACGTCAACCAAGAGAAGACGCTGACATAGTGCGAAGGGATTGGTGCGAGTCTAACTAAGATTCTAAGTTGATCAAACCAAACCTCCAGTTTATAAGTTTAAATCGCTCGTATAGCTTTCGTTGCTAATTCCAAGTTGCGGAAATGACGGTTAATATCACTCGCTTTCTGGGAACTTTTTAGTAGCCCATAAAGTAATCCACACTGATCGTCACTTCGTCAAAAAAAAATTGACCATCAAACTATTAAATCCAACCGATAACGGTACGAATTGTGAGTAATTACACTGGCCTGTTCTCTTTTGTAACGCCACTTCAATTAGTACTTACTCAGGTCGCTCCCAACTGTCTGATTCAGTACGGAAGTTTCCCGTCGACCGCAACCAAAATTTTTGCTGTGATAACAATTAAGCAGATCACTGCGAAACTTACTACCTGTGCGCAATTTGCATATGATATCGGAGTTAAGGCGCTGCCTTGAGGAATTAATTTACAGGTGAACCTTTCTGTGCCCATTACCTCGGTTGCTGCTTTGGAACATTTCATCGGCGGGGGGGGGA